TAGTCTTAAGAGTGTATATACGTGTCAAATACTCAAGACATTGTCGGGTCTAAAGCTGCATAACGTCACATTTACTAGTTGGAGAGTTCCTGCATAGCATGGATTGCACAAGGTTCAGAATGAAAGATCGATTTAAATGCGTAAAATTCTAGAAAGTGAAATAAAATGTTCAATCTTAGTCAATTTGGATGACACTATTATAACACGTAGTAGCAAGTATATACTCTATCATGAGAAGAGAGGCACTGGTGGTCATATATGTAGACGATCGTTCCAAACCATTATTGTTTCATACTTAATTTAAAACTACTGAGAAGAAACTGTGGTTGTTGAATTTGCGTTCAACGATTCTTGTATCTAATTTTTTATATCATATCAATGAGTTTAAGATGGAACACCGTAAGCCAATATTTATTCTTCTATTAGTGGGAAAAAATCGTAATTAATCTCAAGATGAAAAACCTGGATATTAAGGCAGGTGCAAGATATCCACACTTAAGCATATTTTGCTCCGAAATCTTGGAAGCTGTCTCTACGAGTCCAATTTTTATCCATATAATTGTATTAAATCAAGTGTATTTTCAAAACACATGGTGAAATCTGAACCACTACCCAATGCTACTTCTGTGAAACGAGGGATTTTTTAATGCGTTTAAGTAATCTAGGTTTACAAAATTATTTTATCAAAACTCGAAGGTCTCCATACCATAGGATAGTCTCTCAGATGCCGACTTGAATCGTGATCAGACTACGAGGATACTGCTCCATTTACGCAGAGATGCTATCATCAAATCGAACAACACTCCATGGTTCCTTCAAACGCTGACGCTGAATGTGTGGCACTCTCTTTGAAACAAACGAGTCAAAGTTGTACGAGCAGATTTTGAAAGAGCTACGAAGATATGTGTGACAACCAGTCTAATTCTAAGACAATACGTCGGTTGGTCCAAACGTAGATCCTAACTGATCCTAAGACTGCTTACCCAATTTCTTGACATATTTTCTGAAGTGTTTTTTTTGGAAAGCGTTAAGGAAATTAAAAAATTGGTTGCAGTTGCATCCCCAAATGATAACTTCAGCTTTTGACACAATGGCGTTGCTACAGGATAAAACTCTGGCCTGGTTTTATAGACCCAAACGAATACGTATATGTGGTGCACGTGGAGAATCGTTTGTTACCAGTAAAGTATCCAAGACTCCATTGCAATCTTGCGATGTGCAGCAAAGGTACAAGGATACAAGTAGATGAGACTCTTGTCTAGATAAATGAGAAACATATGAAAGAATTCAAAACTAGGTTACAATACTTGTAATTTAATACATGATGCGATCGATTCATAAGCATCCACATTTACGCAAATGAACCAGATAGCGAGTGTTTGACATACTTCTCATGAATGAGGTAAGAGATGTATGAAGACCGAACTGAGCGAGAGTTAAAATGTTAACGCTGACCACCGTGCACAACTGACAAATATGGATCAAGCTCGAGGAGCAAGAACAATGCAATCAATGTATGCTGGTTAAATGTGGCCACTTAATGTTTCAAGATTCAGAATACAAGATACTAATACGAATCAAGATCAAGATAAGGTATCGATGGAGTGAAACATATCAGAAGTCAAATTTACAAACCTGACATAATTTTCCTCTTACAAGAGTTTGACTACAGCTTCTCAGCTTCTCAGCTTCAAGATTATTTTCCAACCGGGAGTCATAGGTACAACAATCTAATCAGTGTGCACGGACGAGTACGGTTAAGAATGAACCCAATAATTACCAGGGCCAGGTCCCTAAGGGCCTTTCTTCAAAGATTAATAGAGGGTAAGTAAAACATATCATTTTCTAGCTTCTTTCCTAGACGTGGGCGAGAGTGAGTCGGCTAAAGTGAGCGGGAGTCTGGTCACCAGCATGCCAACCTCACGGAAGTGCCCGTTGGGAGTCACATCAATTATGTCTAGACTGTGCCAGTAAGTCGGTATCAGAGTATATGTCGTCCTCGCTATCACCCGCCATGGGAACTTAAGAGAGGTGGCAGCGAGGCCCACTGACTTCACAGTGCAGTTTTCTCTAGATAACGTCCTTGCACGAAGCATCTCATCCAAAAATTTCTTGCATTAAGGATTAAGGAGACAGCTGTAGCTTCTTCTACCGAACCCCACCAGCAGGTGTGGAGACAAGAATCATATGGTGTGTTCATATTTCAATCAGGCTCGCGATTGGCTCAAGAATAATGGAATTTCAGGCAGCTCCTTCGGATTCTAGAGCGAACCATTCTCAGAAACTACCGTTCTCACATTACTTGAATATGCGGCTTCTTCGCCATTCCTATTGGTCCAGGGAACATGTACATGGCGCTCTCTGTTGGTCTGGAAGGCCTGGACCTCTGGACGAGGAGTGGAACGATCACATTCCACAATCTAACAATTCAACACGAATGTTTTTTGTGCGACGGCCGACGTTGTGGTTTAAGTGTGTATAAGACGAACAACTTTTGATTTAAGGCTGAACCTTATTCTTGCAATATGTTTATGATCAATTTGTCCACTTTGTTTAGATTTTTTTTTAAAAGTATTCATAGTCAAAACTTGTCAAATCACACCAGTATCGAAAACTGAGTATCATTCAAAGTTGTGCTTTCACTTAGATATTTCCTCCCGCGATCAATGAGATCAGAACTTACAGCATTTGATGTTTTCAAATAAACCTTTTTTCTGGTCTGGAATTTAGTTGATGTTACAGTTCAGACACGCATGCGATCCGGATTTCATCGTCGAAGTTCAGAGAGAATTAAAGACTCCATCGTATTCATTTTCCCCCTTTTTTTTATTCATGATTGACTAATATTAATACTGAGATACAAAAAAAGTCTATGTGAAAGAGGGATTTATTCATCATTAGACCACCGTTGACACTGAGTTGAAGGTGTGCTGTCCCTTGCTTTCACGCGAAGATCATTTCATTTTAAGTTCATTATACAGAAGTTAAGATGGCAACCACGATCTGAATTTTTCTTCTCGTAATTGTTAGAGGAAATGTTCAGTTTGTTGCTCCATATCTGAACTAGTACATCGTGAGAACCGTCCAGTACATGGTGGAAGTCTCGTGAGCACATATGATGGTCAGAATTCCCATCGCATTGCTTTTGAGTAGGGATAATAGATGTATACACGATAAATAAGAAATATTTGAAAGAGATAATCACGCTAACATCCAATAGTATTAGCAATACCAAAAATTGGTTATTCAGATTGTTAAGTGGAAAGAATATTTCATTTCAGATCTTTGATTACTATTCGTGTACCTTGACCAAAAAATTGAAAAAATGATGAATATTACTTTTAGACTTAGTGAGTTGATACTATGACAATTATATCATTTCAATAATTTATGAAGTGAAAAACTTTTAGAATTACATGAGAAAAATTTAAAAAGCTCTCCAAAAGAAGTACAATCTGAAGATGAAATGGAGCCTCCGTTTGCTACTTGACTTTTTCTATTAAGTAACACCATTAGTAATCGAGCCCGATCAGTATCTGCACAAGATGACGTACTCGTCTAGCCAAGAAAAATATCGTGATCTGATCATCACATGCACACAACTTAGCGTCTGCATCTGATTTGATCATCTGATTTTCGATTGTGTGACTGCGTCTGATGTGTCAACCGTCTTTCACACCAATTATCATGGCCTCCTATTTGTCAACAGAAAGGCGGATGACTCACGAAATCTGTGGGTAAGTCTTCCCGAGAGAGAGAAAGAGGAACTCCAGTATCCAGACCTAAATTATGCTGTCATACGCAAAGCACAAGACAGTTCCGTTCAGAAAACAGCCGCAATATATCTGTATTAGACGAGACGCGAGTCTAATACAGATGAGGAATTTACACGATAATTCCTTAATACAAAGGATACAAATAATAATAATACAGATAATACAAAGGAATTTAAACGATCTGGAGCAGTGGCTTCGTTCCGCTTATAGTGAGGGAGTGTCATGTCGGGGGCTTTTGAGTGGACCAAGATGATGGAGACTCTGAAACAAACGGATGATGATCAGAACAGATGGGAATGCGAATCCATCGCTGCAGTTGTTGGCTTCAGATCTAGACCAACTCATACATGAGTCTTGAGGAAGGACGATCTGAGAAAACGATGGACGTCTGAGCAGATCGTTTATGCACTAGCTCGAATCCCACGACCACATATAGCAGCTGCTCGATGGAGACAAGTAGGGAATGACTCTTTTTACCGTTGGACAGAATAAATCTTCCTTTGTCTTGCGGTTCCTTCTTCACCTCTATTCTGCATGGTTTCAGCTCGCAAGTCTAAAGTAGTATTCATTGTTTTTTCTTTTCAATTTTCAATACCCAATTTTCAATTAATTCAACCCAACGTTCGAAGCATAGAAATTTAAGATCTGAAATGAAATGAAATATTCTTTACGCGTAACAATTTGAAGATACCAAAAATTTGAAATTTGTGAAGTATATTTAGATGTTGAATTAATTTTCTCTTTCAAATGTTTTTAATTTTTCTTTTAATTTATCTTATTATTACTAGACTGCATCCAAAATTATCCCTACACAAAAGCAATGAGGTGGGAAACTTCAATGCGTCATCAATCCCCACCTTCAGATTCTGCTTCTCACTCCCTCCCAAATACGTTTGATCTCTCCGTTAGATACGTACCAGAGTAAAAACACATATACTCACAATTCGTAATATATTTCAAATGATCATAACTCCTCTTTCTAATTGGGGAAAACTGTTACTCTCGCATCAAACCCTTAACCATTAAATCATCTTTCTCACATACTCACAACTCCTCTTTCCAATACACGCTCTTTTCTTTAGGAGCGCTCGCGCCTCGTGAATCAGCTCCGTTGATTACTACCTGCGATCTGCAACTTGCGACCACGAAAGTCTCCGGAAGTCCATATATTCTCCAGAAGCGGGGTTGCTTTGCAAGAAGCGTGCTTGGAATCCAGCGATCTAAATGCAGCAGTGGGTTGAGGGTTCTTCCTACACATAAAGTTTTTTTAACGTAACTGCGCGAAAGATCGGGCACTACATAAGCTCGTGAATATCTCGCGATCGATAAACTTTTGCATATCTGCAGTCCAGTTCATTCCCATGAGAACACCGTATCGTAAAAGTAGTGTAAAAGTATTGGTCAAATGGGAGAGAGGAGTTAAGAGTATATGAGAAAAATGATTTACTGGTTGAGGGTTTGATGCGAGAGTAACAGTTTTCCCCAATGGCAGTCAGAAAGCAGCGTAGGTTCGTGTTGGAATTAGTTGAGCTTTCAAGATGAGGTACTCTCAATCTGACAAAGGACACCAAAATATGGGGAGGAGAACCAGCGTCATGGAGTCTCTATGCAATCAAACTTTAAAGGATGAAGGTTTGAGGCGAGCCAAATATTGCGGGAAGAATGGGATGACGTAAGAATATCATCAAATTTTGAGGCTTCACTTTCATCGTTCATCTTTTTAATGCTGAGGCATTTTAAAGAAGCTGAGACAAACCAGTCTCTATGTTCTAAACTGACGGTAATCCCACAATGAACTGGATTGCACATATGCAAAGGTTTATTGATCGCGAGATATTCACGAGGTTATGATGTGCCTGATTTGTCTAGGTGAGAAGACAACATTATAATCCACAAGTTATTGCTGACAATTTACTTCAGGTTTTATACGGTCCATTATCAAGGTCTGAGAAAGAAGGACGGTGAGTTCATCGGCATGTTACAGAATTAGGATCCACGCTTCAGTCTGGAGCTTACTGTAACAAACTCCGAGTTACTTTTGTATTATCCACATGCAATATCAGATAACGAATAGCATAGAGTATGACTCTCTTACCTTTGGCACACAAGATTCTTATCTGAATGTCCCTTATTCTGGGCAGGCATCCTCCGAAACACACGCACTGTTATGGAGTGTCTTCATCGGTTTTGCAGAGAATGCATTGATAAAGCTATGCGACTTGGGTAAGTTATTTTGACTGACTCGACTACGTGGATTGCAATTAGACATTCCGTGTGATGTAAGACATTCAATCAGACTGTTCAATTTTCATTTGTTCACAACTTATATTCATCGATTACGTTCCATTGCACGGTTTATATGCATAACTCTACTCTAATTGGCATGGAAGAAAAATCTGCAAGTATCATGTATAGAGTGCTGTTAGATCTGCACGTGAACTGCATCTGATTTTGGATCGATCAAGGTTAGCTTCAGACTATGTTACGTGGGGGTGTATATATATATATATATATATTCATATATATCACTGTTTGAATTTGACATGCAGGAGAAAAGAATGCCCTACATATCTCGCACATTGCGCGAGCAGGAGGTCTTCAAGGGACGATCCCCATTTTGATGCCCTTACCGCTGCTATGTTTCCGGACATAGAGAAACTTCAGGAAGAGGTAGACAACAGAATTATCTGATCCTTGCTGGAAATTGATCGAAAAGTTAAAAGCTCGTTTGTCAAAGCTTTCTCATAAACGCTTTTCCAACTATACTGATCCACATAAACTTCATAAATTCAGGAATCCACTTTGCTCGAGGAGACTCTTATCAGCAACAGACAGGTACTGAAGTTTGAGATATTGTTACCCTTGTATCTGCTTCTTCGATATCAATGCTTTACAACTCAATTTCTATTTCCGTTTTTCTTCAACGTTATTTTACGCCTTACGCCTTTATTTGGGTTGCTCTTTCATTTCAGAGAGTAAGAGTATCTGGATTTGAAAGTAATGTGTGTAATGAGTGATGAGTGGAAGATGTACAGTTGGTGTAGTACAAGGTGTATCACCAAGTAGTCACAAAGTTGCGTATGTTGTTAGGATATTTCCTAGCTGTCAGCATGCTCACTGTAAGATCTAGAGGGAAGAAAAGGGACTTTTAAGAGATTTTACGGTTTCAATCATGCCTGTTACCGACCAAACAGACACAGACGATAATTGAGGAAGCCTTCAAGCGCCAATCTGAAGCAATGGCAAGATTCAAGAGACCTAAATCAATTGGTTCAAAAACACGAATCGCCAAATATTCGAGAGTAGCTGGATGTGAAGATGAGCGGTTCAGAGATATCTCTGTGGTTCCAGATTTAAACAATGCTGGGGCTAAATCGTCAATCAGTACGAATGTGAACATACTCCATCTAGTTAATAATGAGGCAGAAGTAGAAATGGAAGCGGATCATGGTCTCAGGCTTTTAAGTGAGCTTGCCGATCAGGATGAATTCTCGAGCCTCACCCACACCTTCATTGAAACGGATTGTGATAAAGGACATAGATTCGGGTATGTCAAAGAGCACAGAAGTTAGGAGTCAGAGTTAAAGGAAAGAAGACTGTCAGGGAAAGAAATGCTCATCAGTTTCTAAGTGCGGTGAAGAACTTGTAGTGATGGGAGAGCCCTCTAAAAAGAACCAGAGGGGGAAAGCCATGGAGATCTCGCCTACTCCAACAGATGATGGACTTCTGGGCAACTTTGCTTCAACTGGATTGTGATAGAATGTGTGATGAGTATCATGATCATGACAAGGAGAATTGGACAGCAGAAGGATCTCGATCTCGGTACGAAAGTCAAAACGGCCATGGAGGACCGAAATTTGCTTATGAAAGTGGAATTTCTTCACGTAAAGAAGGTCAAACGCAAGCGAAGGTAGTGACATGTGGGTCCACTGTGCATTCTGAAATTCTTAGTGTGAGGAGAGGTTAAGACATTCTGAAATTCTTAGTGTGAGTCAAAAAAATTTATTGCATTAGAAGAATAAAGATTTATCAAGTACACTGCGCTATTGACAAATTCAATCCAAAATTCTTATGGCCAACTAGATTTGGCTCAACATACTTCACACTCTTTCGATATTGTTTGATTTACTCTCTGAGAACAACATTTGTTGTGTATTATAAACCGTGATGAGTCGACGAGTAATTTTTTCTTGATTGCAGGAATTCCAAAACAACTCAAATGTAAACTTCTCACCATTATACGTACAAAAAAATTTTCCGGTTTTAGTTTCAACTTGAGCTTTTCTACTTTTGAAATTTATAAATACTTCAAACTTGTGTGTGAGTATAAATCCATACAAACTTTCAATAATTATCAATAAATGATACATAATAAAATTTCCAAAAAGTGAGTTTTTTTTAGAGAATGCTCACACGCCTCTATGTATATCTTCAATGAAAATTTTGGAACTTTCGACATCAAAGAGTTGTCTATGATGTTTACCCATAACACAATATTCATAAAATTTTGATTCAGTTTTATCTATGTTAGATAATGAGGCATTTTTTATTACCCATGAGGAAAAGATATCTTTTATTTATGTGTTCTAGCTTTGAATATCCTACATGGTACATCTCAAATTGAGATTCAATAAAATAAACTTTTCAACATTAATGTTAGTGTTCTCTAGCAAATAAAAATTTGTGATTATGATCTCTAAGCATAATCATATCACTTAGTCTTCACTTTAATTGCTTGGATTTCTGTGCTTTTGTTATATTTCATTAACCAAAATCTTTTTAACACCTCCTTTTTTTATGATCTGGCATGTTTTACTTCTAGGTTTGTAGATAATGATAGCGAACTTTGTTCGATTATACCTATGGTTAGAACTCCGATTACAAGAGATACAACTAATTCGGTAATCATGATAACGGTCTTCATCTCCTAAACAGAATAGTAGCCAGGGCCATGATCACGGATCACAATAGAGGCCAGTTATCCCCTTGTGCACTGCAACGAAATAAGATGTGTTCAAATTTTATCTAGTTTTTTTTGTCCCAAATTCTACGATAAGGTAACAAATCAAGCGTTACAGATAAGACTGCTTCTTCTCAGGAACCGGAGTAGCGCGTCGTTTTTACCTCACGTACAGCACATCCTTGCGCTGGCTTGTTTGCGGAGCTCGGACTGAAAGGTCACCTGTTTATCGCTCTTTAGAGGTCAAGGTCTTCCATGACGAAAGTGCAGGCCTCGATCACGCATTGAGTGAAATGAAAGATCAATCGTCATCGCCATTCAATTCAATCGCAGGGTGAATGCCAGCGGGTGTCATGATCCGCATGTCGGTGTTGATAACCCCAAAAATAGATCTACTTGCCCCTATAAACTTAAGCTGTAAAAGCCTAACTTTAGCTTCCGTATCCAAGGCCCTCCTTATCTTTGAAAAAAGAGCAGCAACTTAACGAAGAATTCTGGTTTTTCTCAAAATGTGTAACTTATTCCACAATCATTGGCAGCACTTTTATTACTACGCGAAAGTGACTAAACAATTTTTCAGATGACTGGCCACGTAATTGAATTGATTAGAGACAACTATGGACAATAAACGCGATAGTCGAAGAAATTTCTTTAAAGGCAACGGAGGTAACTGTAAAACGGTGCAATAACATCAAAACGGAAATCAGCCACAAAAGTAGTTAGCACCTGACGTGGGTAGACTAGGCTGAAAACGATTGATGGATGTTATTGGAGTAAGCTCCGTCTTGCTTGACTTTGTATATTGTAAGACGGTCATCCGTCGCACTCCATGGAGTTCGTTCAATTGTCTTTATTAGTGAGGAAAGGTCTCGTGTTTTCCGAAGGAAAAACTTACCAAGGAAATATAAAATGAACCCACATTTGCCTAAACATTGATAAACCGCTCGACACAACAGCTCTATGATTCGCATAATTTTATGCTTTTCTAGGGCTGGAATGTTCTCATCAAAAGTTGGTTGGAGTTGTAAATTGCGGATCACATGAAGATATGTTTTCGGAAAGGAGTCAAACATGAACAGAGTTCCAGCGTGTATTCAGTGAACTAGGTAAATACTCCTCCTGGCATGTAAACAATGATACAACACCTTCTTGATACAACAGCACCGTGATAAGCTGAAAGTGGTGAGTTTGTTTGATTTAACGCCTCTAAGCAAATTGAAGAAGATTCACCAGGCCAACAACCAGAAGACAATCTTATTAATTTCAAGTTTCACGAACTGGAAAGTGGGCACCATACACATTGTCTATGTTTAGCAGCCGGGAAAGATTAACACGCCTAATGGAGCATGCTGGCGCCCCGCAATAGTCCTCGAGCACGAATGTTTTCGGCTGTCTCATATGTTTTAACGATGGGGCTTCATTTCGTGAACAATAAAGAAAATCACCTTTAAAAGATTTCAGAGATTTATGTGGCTCTACATTTCCCATTAGCTAGCATCAAGGAACTGGAAAGACCATCGTGGCAAAGCTAGTTCTCAATTCTGTGCGTGTCTATTCTGGTTATTCTTGATTTGTACGTTAGAAGGGACGAAATCGGAGATAAGCACAATAATTGTGTAACATGCTTCATGAGTGTCATGTAACATGAGCACAGTGTGCCTATGCAGATACATCTGGATCCACGTAAACGGGAGAAAATTGCTTCAGATTTGGACGGCATGTCAGAAGATGCACACGCCTAGCTTTCGCACTCAGTTCATGGTGTGTGATAGCCCACCCAAGGCTAAATTGCAGTATAACAGCAAAGGATCGAACTCACAGGGACAGGAACAACACACAAAGTACAATATGTCACATTTTAACATACTATTGAGGAGTTTGAATTCTCAGGCTACTGTCACTCCCATAAATACTGCAAGTGCTCAACTCGGAGGTCACTCAGAGTACACACAATGCAGCGTATTACACCCCAACACACACACACCTAAAACTGTAAATGCACAACTCAGAGGTCGATTAGGACCTCCACTTAAGGTTCAGGGGGAAAGTTTCCCAAGAGTACACTAAGAGGATTCTGCAGGTAGTCATCCAACTCCGAACTTGTTTAAACCCTGTCACTAGTCACTGCTAGTGCAGAGCATTCGGGTTGGACTTCCTACTTCGGATGCGAAACCTTTGTCAAACCAAAGTTCCTCTCACGCGGTGAACAACACACTCAACTCACAAATCGCGCAGAGAATACAGAAATCCGAACTGAGAAACTAAGTTGAGAAAAATCCAAGTGTTACAACTTAGCAGTCTATTGACGAGTTTGAATTCTCATGCACTAGTCATTCCCAGATATATTGCAGAGGCTACCCCAAAGGCGCCTCAAGCAGCGTACCGCACACAACCTGAATTCAACCAACTCTCACTCCGAAGTTAACAAAACTTCACTTTGGTATTCAAGAGGCAAAATCTTGAATGAATACAAACAAAGAAAATCGTCCGAAGATGAAGGTTCAAACTTGCTTAAATCTTGACTAGCCAATCTGCTAGCATAGAACATTCGGACGAAAGACTTCAGCTATAAAATGCGGTAACTTCGATTAGCTATAGCTCTTCTTGCGTGATGACAGAACAAAAGACACAAACAAGTAGAGAAAACGACTTCCTTAACTGCACTTCCAAAACTGAAAAATCCCTCAAGGCCAACGCCTTTGACTACTTTATACATTCTAAAATTCTAACTACCTAACACTCTACTTCACCGGCTACGGTGCGAGCCGCGAACAGATCCTACACCTGAGGAGTCAGCGGCTGCCTTTTCCTCTAACTTACGACCTAAATCTAACCCTAATCCGAAATCTAACCCTAAATCTGAATCCTAAACTTACTGTACAGAGCCACCAGCGTCTTTATCAGCTCTAGTTCCAAGATCTGAGGCTGAAAATTTGCAGCATGCACGGCCGGCTGAGACCAACGGCCTTACCAAATTTCAACTCCATCCGACGCTCCATCACAAAGATATGGTCCCGCAAGATCTTTGTTTCAATGTTTAACCTTAAACCTACTACATTGAGCCGCCAGCGTCTTTAACCGTTTAGATCCAAGCTATGAGGCTGAAAATTCACAAACATGTGCGGCCGGCTAAGACCAACGGCTCCATCAAATTCCAGCTCCATCCAAGGGTCCATCGCAAAGATATGGGTACCGCAAGATCTCTGATCCAAGGCCGAAATTCCTTCTCAGAAATCCGAGGTCCGAGGGATCCACAGGCTGCTTGAATGCCGTTCGCGCAATGATGAGTAACGGCCTGCTTCCCACGTGCAACTTCATGCCCTGCCGTTTTGCTTCTCACGCTTTTACATTCGACATTCATGACAACGCCGACTTCCACCGTCGGAAATCTTCTTCCGCGTACTGCCGAAGGCACTTTTCCGCGCCTTTGCCTATCTATATCAGCCACTTTTGACACTTATAACTCAGTGATACTTTATCCGTTTCAATAGTTTCTTGGACACGTTAGAACAAGCGTGTTGAACTCTATTCATCAAGATCCTAAATGAGTCAAGGCGTTAGGAATTGAAAACGTTATGAGGGATTTACTCTTCCGCCGAAGGCACTCTTCCGCGCCTTTGTCTGTCCATATTAGTCACTTTCAACACTCATAACTCAATGATACCTTATCTCTTTCAAGAATTCTTGGGCTTGTTAGAACGAGCGTATCAAGCTCTATCCATCAAGACCCTAACTGAGTCAAGGCATTCAGAATTGAAAAAGATATGAGGAATTTACTCTTCTGCCAAAGGCACTCTACCGCCGAAGGCGCTTGAAGCAGGTCCTGCAGCATGAACCGCCCGTTCCGTCCAAGGCGCCCGACTCTGGCCTAAGCCCAAAAGCCCCTAGACTGCCCTTGATTTTCCTAGACCCCAAGATTCCCTTTTTGCTTTGTTTTTGTGTACCGATTATTATTTACATCTGCTACCGTGGTACTTACTATTCAAATGTTTTAATTTCGAAAAAAAATCAAAAACTGCGATACCAAATGGTGCCCAGTAGAGCTCATGATATGAGTCTAGGAGGCATATTTTCAGTTGGAATACATCCGTGCGATCAGGTGATGTACTATGATGTATGAGGATGAGATAGAAATATATGATGGTTTTGAAAGTTATACTTGCGCTATAGGTCTCATTCTCGTCTTAGGCCTCGGCCTCTTACGGGTGCTGATCATTCCACAATAAATCACAATTGATTGCAGACTTTGCTAAGATTTAATCCATACGGA